CTCGCGGGAAGGTCCAAACAATTAATTAAAATGATACGTACTGATTTCGGTAAACCACAAAACAGACAAACTAATTGAACAGATGTGTTAGAAATGTGGTTAGCCCTTAGCCGGTTAGGTATAATAATAATATAGTTTAATTAATTTCGTAGGTGCGCACGAAAAAAAATCCACATTATTTCATTCGTTATCAGTTGTCCTTTTACTAATATAACTTACTGATATTTTCCTGCTATTTATGACAATATTCTATTCCATAATGTTTAATGTTATACAACTTCTAATAATAAGATTAGATTTCCGGATCTGAACGAGAGGAATAGATTGGACCTAGGTACCATAGATGTGATAATTTGTATGCGGTTATTGAGCCTGAATCTTTAGTAGGTATCTTGCAATAATGATTTATAAGATTTTTAAAAAGTCAAATATCTGTGGAATCCAACACGTTGTTTTAATCTACTGTCAGAAATATATTATAACATCTATGATTCGGCCATTTTATCGATTCATTTAATAATTATTATAACAATTAAATAAAACTAATCCTTAAGTATATTTTTTTACAGTCTCAAAATTAGAATAAAATATATTTAGTTAATTGCAACAGTAATTGCACGTCTTTGAAGTCATGTAGTCCGTCAAAAATGAATTTTAAGCATCTTGATTTAGTAAAACAAAATATTTTTTATACAGTTAAAGTTTAAGGTGATCCGACATCTGTCAGTATTATTCCTTAATGGTGTACGTTTCGCAAACAAATAAAAACAAGTTCTAAAACGTAACATGTACCTAGCATTCAAATTCAATAAATAAATCAAAAAAAGTAACATTCCCCACATTAAATATTTTTCCTGTCAGAGTGAAAAAATATTACACTCATAACTGTTTCGGATTTCAATCTCAAATGTAGGAGAGTACCTTTATTGGTTTACAGTATGAACAGTAAAGTTATCTTTACTCTTCATAGCTAAAATTACGCAAGTACTTACTTCCTAATATGTAATTTTTTTTTAAATATATTCATCATGCAATTATTCTGATAATTTGCTTTAAGATTGAAATGTCGATAAACCTTATGGGGGCTCTAAATAATATGTTTACTTTAATATTGAATAATAAGTCAATTCACTATTCTAATATTAGAGTTAACAACACAAGATTGGTTGTGCTGAACGAAAACTTGATAATATGTTGTGCGTATACCTATATAGTTACCTATAAGTATAATATGTCAGAGAGAGAATACAATTTATATCGTAGGTACGCTGGCAAACTTTTATACAATTATTTTATTTAAGATACCTACGACTTACATATATATTATTTGATTTGTAATTAGGTATAATCAGGTTAGAGAATTTAATTATTACTCGAATTCATAATTTCTATTTTTTCTATCTTCTATGGAGTCAGGGTCCACCAAAAACCTTCACTTTTGGAAACTTTGAATATACAAATTCACATACCTAACTTTTATAATCGTGTGCTATTTGTATTATTCTCGATCTCACAGATAAAAGAACATTTTTCATTCCTAATCGCTATTTATACATGGAAATTGTCTTTGATATTTTCTTGGTTTGTTTTTTGTATTATATTTGTTCAAATTTCGTTGGTACTTGAGTTTAAACTCCGCCGACTTACAACGCTCGTGGTATCTCTAGTTTAAGGCCAGTTAGGTGATGACGATCGTACGGTTAATCTGTTTAATGAACGGCATTGCGCATGCACGAGAATGAAAAACCAGACACATATTTTGTATAAAATAGTATAAATAAATAGACTATTATGCGACTGGCAACATGCCACCATCGACTGATCTGGCTGGTTCACGAAAGTTGAAAACACTATGAATGTACAGTTGAAATTTCGGATGGATTAATATTATCTACCATAAACACAGCTGTGCATTATGTACCCGTTTTATATATATCTACGTGCCATCAGGCTGATTCTGGTGTTGTGATTATAGTTCGGTAAATACGATGACGTTGTGTTCGTGTGTTATTGCAATAATAATTATTGTGGATACGGTTACTTGTTTTCGTGATATATTAGGTACGTATCTATATTACTAGTGAACTTGAGTTTTCTTATTATAACCCTGAAAATTACCGTTTCATATGATTTTTACCGTTTCATATGATTTTTACCGTTTCGATTTGGTACCGGAATACTCACTTAAATTTCGTTGTTACCTCAAACATATTATACTTTTGCGCTTTATTATTATGTCCTGGCTCCTGCTACTCGTAGCTTTTAAGTAAGTGGCGCCGCCAATGACAGGTAGCTATAACCCCTCGAGGTCATAATTGTACTGTTATTATGTCCGGTGAAACAACAATCCCTAGTTCATTGGTGACAATATAGTAGCCTCACCGTGAGAAGCACGTGTGCTTACAAATCTAGTCACTTAAATAGCCACGTCATCTCAGTCGATTAACTTTGAGTAATTTATTCCTCTCCAATGTTACCCATGAATTGTTATTCATGAAAAAGGATAGATTCTCAGCATTATGTCACCCGTCGTCAAAGTTGATACATTTTCGCCATTCATACGCCTCTCTACTCTGAATTTAAATTTTAATCTAATGAACAGTGAAGTACCTATATAATAAAATAATACACGCACGATTATTGAATCCGTTATATTATAACTGTGTACAAATAAAAAAACTCAAAATTAATCTTCGATTGTAAAAAACAAATTGTAAGGTTGTCAGTCGCTAGTTATAAAAAAAACGATTGTATCAAAAAAAAAATGTAAGTAATGTCATTAAATCCTAAGTATAAATAAATATATATGGGCTCAATAAACATGTAAAATATAAATAATTAACATACACTTGTCAAATACATTCGAAATCAAAAACACGAGCAATCTCTGATTTTTTTATTGATTTTATGAAGCTAAAATACTCTTATCTATATAGAAAAATCTAAAACTCTGTTAAGAATACAATAGTTTCTTTGACTTGTTAAAAATGTATATAAACGACAAGACCAAACCTAAACTAACAAATAATAATAAAACATATATAATACATTATACAAAATATAAATTATAATTAATCACCTACCTAGTATGAAAATAGTTTCCGAAGCTCTATATAGCTCACATATTATTATTAAATACCAATGACGTTTTTTTTCATTATGAGGCACATTATATCCGTTATTAGCACTTGGACAAATTAAGTTTAATAATTCATTATAAAAAGTATGACATTGTTCAAATAATAACTATTAGGTACATATTAGGTACTATTTAGTACACCTACCTAGTTAATAATATTGTCTACACATGTTTTAATTGTTGCTTTTATTTACTGAAGCCATTATATTAAACTGTATACATTTGGTCAACTGCTTCCAACATCTATTATATTGACCTATTAAAACTTAAAAATGTATAATATGATATTATCAATATTCGATTTATACAAAACCGTGTTTGTTGTGGAATTACTCAATACCCATCCAACGCTGACTTTTACTTTATTTTAATCATAAGTCATCATTAAACTGGTAGGTATAACTGGTATTTATATGTCTATTTTTAAAGTAGGGACTTAATTTGAAACTGTATACTTAATAATAAATCATGAATATTGAATATCTACAAAGTTCACTAAAACTTATATTGGCAATAGTTTAGTTGACTAACTCTATATACTTTAATAGCAAAAAAAACATAAATTATTGATTATGAATTATTATAATTTAATAACCTATTTAATAAAATTATTCATATCTCCATCCAAATCTTATAAAAATTAAAATAGGTACTATTATACTCCGTAGGTATACAAAAATATTAGCTCAGGTTTATTCAGAGAAATGCTAATTAATGTATTTTCAATTTAAAAAAAAAAAAAAATTAAAAATCGTATTAATATATTACATATTAAATATCATAATCATCTTTATTTATTTAGTTTAATATTATACTATTGCCAAAACATATAATAATATAAATATAAGTATAAACATGATTTAGGTTTAGTAATAATATTACGTTATCATTATTTTGGCTTCTAAGTTCTAACACAAATAATATACAATAAATATATTACCTATAAATTATAATAAATACATTATACTAAATTTATTATTTTTTTAGGTTTTAATATATATTACTCGTGAATATGATGATGTCCACAGACCTGTATATTACCAGTAAGAAATGTTTACATATTTTAAATTCATATTGAAAGAACATACTTATTTGTTAAAAATACATTTTTCAATGATAATAATTAATAACTTACATTGTCTTTAGTATTTTAAGTTCAGTAGGTAATCAGAAGTACGAGTTATAATTTCACTGTTTCTTGATAATTATAAGTTTATTTTTAGTATGTAGATTTAAAAAAATGTATTGATTTAAGTATAATAGCTTATTAGGATAAATAAAATAATATACAATATTAAAAACATATTTTCATCAATTTTTGATTTTTTTTTTCTACTTAACTTAGAAATCGACTTGATGAAAACAACGAGCCGTATTATATTACAATGGTTAATTAATCAATCACTTTTAATTACTTAGTGTAATGAACCGTAACTAATTAATAATTTATTTCAATAAAAAAAAAAAACGACTTAAAAATACCTTTGAAAACCTTTGAAGTAAGGAAAAAATATTTTAGTATCATAAGTTAATTACTAACATATTTATAAAGCCCTACTTTCGTTAGTCGAAAAATCAAATCAGTGAATTATCCATTTTGAGGTCCAAATATTCTAATGACCTAGAAACGGCTATAAACTATAATACAACCGTGACAAAAAAAAAAAAAAAAACATGTCTTATTATCACCGCAAACAATGCTTGCAATGTGATAGCAGCTATACTAAATGAGCGAGGTGCAATTGTATCATGCAGTGACTATATACTGGATTAGTTTAAGTTTATTCACACCTACATAAAGCCGTGTTTTAAAAATTTTACTCGAAGAATTTTTCATTTAACGTCAAAGAAAGCTTATAAAATGATTATATTAATATACTGTGAGTACCAATACTACTATACCTATGTACAATATATTATATGCTAAACATAATTTTATTATAAATAATATTTTTTTAACTTTTAGTTAGTGAAAACCAATTAACTAATATTAATATTGTAAAACCGGTTATTTAAAAAAAAAACTACTTTAATATTAGAAGTAAATCAATAATAAGTTATACCTACATAGGTATACATACAATTTAAAATTCGTTTATTATTTAATAAATAGTTTTAATGATGATTTAAATTTAAATTTATGAAAATTTATGAAAATCCGAGGATTAGAAAATACCGATTATTACACTGTGTTATGATGATGTTTTATGACGATTAACATTTTCAAACAATTTTTTTCGTTTTTCAAAGTCTAATTCAAAATAATTATCTAATCACACATTATGTAAAACACTTTGAAATTTTTCATATATATTTTTTTGTTTTAATCCAGTTAATGGAACCTACATTATTTATCACAATAAAAAAATTAAGCCAATGGCTATTAGATTATTTAAGCCTCAAATAATCTTAAACATAGATAAAAATACAAGAAAATAGTATTGATAGTAAATACAAAAACGTTATAGGAAATAAATTATTTTGGAAAATAATCCTTAGTTTCTTATTTTGTAAATAGATTAGACAATTCCCTAAATATTTAATTTGATTAACATAACATAATATAATACAGCATAGGTACAATGTTCAAAATTATTTATTTTCAGGAATTGTAAAAACTTGCTCAACAATTATTGTTACACTATATTTACAAATACAATATTACGTAATTTTAAATGTGATACTTTCTCCTTACAATTTTCTACGTATGATAAAATGATAATCGGTCAGTTTTTTTTATTTTTGTAATATTACAAGTGACATCATACCGATAATCGATATTATTATATTTTAGGTAAACAAAACAATTCTAACAACAAACTAAACAAATCTATATTAATATATTATACATTTATTAATATTCAAGAAAATATTAAATATGTATTCAAAGTTGGGATAAATTGATTTGTTAAAATATTGTTTGTTTATCATTATCACATTTGTATTGAGTGATACTCTCATACATTTAATTTTAAAATTATGTAATATAATTCTAATGTTAATGAGTATAATATTATAACTTACAACCAATATCTATACCATATAATATAATTACCATATAATAACCCATACCTTATTATTTTAGAATGTTTATTAATTTTATTTATGAATAAGACTTTGTAGCACAGCAAAAGTTTCACATTAAACAACACCGAATTACCTTATTTATAGTTATACCTTATCCTTTTACTATTATTACTTTTTACCTATAGGTATTCTAGTTATTGTAAGTATTGTTTTCGTTACCTCAGTTACAACTAAATACAATGTATAAATGCCTAAGTCATAATATAAATAGATAATATATGAATAAATTATAAATAAATAGTTTATGTATATTAGTTATACCATCTTAACTAATAATATTAATACTGATATTAACTTTTTTAAACTACTTTTTTAGAAAAAATAATTGTTTAAAATTGTAAGTGTGTAGGTCTGATATTAAAAATATTTATTATGCTTCAATGTTAAAATATCAACATCAAACATAATAATATTATCATTAGCCTTTCAGTATAAGATTGAAATTGAATTTGATCTAATATCTCATTAAATAAAATTTAACTATTCAGGCTATAATTTTTTTTGTTAATAAAATGTGTTAAGACATATACATTTAAAATTGAAATTAAATTGCACAGTACAGTTATATTAATATTAAATGTTTGAATTTTTCATAGATATATAAATAATAGATATAAAAAATACCTAGTATTACTTTGATTTAAACATAATATATTTATATATTATATAAAATATATAAAAGAGAAAGTGAGGCATTTCAGAAATAATATTAAATATATTCTAATTATTAAGTAATTATTGTAGTAAACAAATAGTGTATTGGTCAAATCAACAAAATATAACTGGAATAAGCACATCGATTTTGTACATTATTCTATTTTTCAAAACTTTTAAATTCTTAAATAATAATAATCATGAACACGTTGTTCTTTCAATATCATTTTGTATTGGTTTATTTGCTTCTACGCCTCATGTTTTATATATTATTAAATACAGATAGACAATATTTTTAAAAAATTAAAATTTGCCAATTTTGTAAATTTAATATTAACGTTACATAATAATGTAAAAATATAATAATAATAAGAATAATAATAAGAAAAATCTTAATAAGAATAAGTCCCCTGAAATTAAAAATATATAGTATATACCAGGGGTGTCCAACCCGCGGCCCGTGGTAGATTTTGATGCGACCCTCACTTCAATTTAAAAAACCATTAATTAATTGTATATAATAAATGAATACTACGAAAAAAAAATTTATATTAAAAATATAAAACTACAAAATATTAAACATCAAATAAAGATAAACTTTATTAGTGTTTTACATTTATTGGCTCCGATAGCTATATTCTGTGTCATTGATCAACAAAAATATTTCTGCTTATTATTCGCTATAGTAAAATTATAAAAAAAAAATATATACATATATATCCTTTTATTGAAACCCTCAGCATCCACGGAAAACAATGCATCATTAAGTTTAATAATTCATAGTTTTTGATGGGGTATACTTAAATAGTTAAATATGGTAAATTGTAATATATTTCAACAACTTTAACTAAAAATGTAAAATAGATTAATTCATAGAATATTCAAAACTAAACTAAACAACATTTATAAAATATATTATTTGAAATACAATTTCACAAGGTCACAAAATATTTAATATTTGAAACAGTTATATTCTACAACATAGATGCAACTTTACTCGTAAATTGTATTCTGTGTACCGTACACACGCTCATCCTTTGGATCAGTTGAATTATCGTTTTATTAAAAACACAAATTATACCTCGAAACAAAAATATGATGAAAGGTACCTACTAAAACTTAAATAAATTGAAATTATACAGTTGACCATAGAAATTTTTTGTGTCTCCATGTGTTGTGTATATTGTCTCATAATTATTGTTTACCAATTATTAGACTGCACAACAAACAAATATTTAAATAATTAAATGCCGGTAGATGACAACTGTGTCTATAAAACATATTAATAACAATAATTTTGATATTGACGTAGAACTTTATGTTTAACACATAATTATAATAATGATACAAAATAGGTTAATTTACAACCATATTTTGAATATATTTGATCACTTATTATACATATATTATTATTAAGTATTACGAAATCATAAGCCAACACAAAAAAAAATTAATGGACATTCATTTCGCTGTTTATTATAGGTATACAATTTCAAAGATTTTTTTCATTATTTAAGTACTAAGTTTTACTTAAGGTTATAATAGTATTATACGTGCAGTTGTCCCTTACAATACATTATACATTCACAAAAAATTATAGCCAAAAGGAATAAATAATTATTATGCGCTTGCAATTTACATGAGTGCATTCATTTCGTATTATTTAGATACGATTAACATTATTTCAACGCTTCTAATTAACTATGTTAAAACAAAACAATTATGTAGTCTTAATTAGCATAGGTGCACGAATGAGAGAAACTATTTTAAATATGTATAATTACATTCATTATGAATAATTACTCTGAAATAAATGTTAAATAATATCGTATTGATATGTTACAAAAACCATTGTTTCTTATTTCTTATTTTCTATGCTGCAAACTTTTTTTAAAACATAAATAATTTCAATTTATGGAAAATTTTATCTCAAAAAAAAAAAACATCTTAAACCATACTATGTGATGTTATTAAAGACACTCCTTTAACTCTGATGTTTATGATAAACTTGACCCCGAAAATTCTGTTTTTCACAGTAATGTATAGTAAAAAGAAAATTATTTTAAGCACAAGTTTATAATACAATACACAATATTCGTATAATATGAATACGATGGTCTTTTTCTTTTCACGCCAGTGTAGTTCGAAGTGAAATATATATTCAATTCCTATATAAGTACAACCTTCTAGAAATTAACAAGAGTGCGAACTTTGTGATTACTGTAATTGGGACCCTGGCCGGATCTTGTTGTTTTTTTTTCGTTGTTAATATTATTATTTGATTATCTATTCGTTTCTTTGCTAGTGTATTGGAAACCCGTAAAAAAGCGATAGCGCGAGGGCGATAAGGACGTGTGACAATCTCAACAATATTAAATGCAAATACTATTAGACGGGCCCCTATTACTGGTCAGACAAATTAACGTAATTTATGGGTTTACTATCAGTCATTCGGTGGGATGGGTTATTATAGTATACCTATGGGGGGAACTGGAAAAAATGAATATTTTTCTCAATGACTCGGAATCGTGCGAATGGCGCCATGCACTTCAACCGCCAGTGACCCAGTGTAGTACAGAAAAATCCATTTGTTTTCCTGTTTACATTTTAACTGCAATACATAATACATAACAATATTGTACACATACTCAGCATGACGTACTATAATAGAATAAAAGGTCTCGAATAATTGAAATATTTATTTACAATCTCCATCAGTATCTTTAACTGAATTATTCTAAAAGTACAATATGGTATATTATATAGACGCAGTAATTTGTTCTTGTAATTATTATGAATCACAACCCAGTCAAATATAAGCTACATTAATATCAATATGAATATATTATAAACATGTGCCAATGTGGCAATCTGTCATTGATAACTTAAATAAATTTGTTCAAAACGATTTCAAAGAAAAATCTCAAGCCAAACATATAATTACAATATTACACAAACATTTCCTACATCATAAGTACCCTAAGATTTTTATTTGTTTTTAAAGTTAAATTGCAATTTATCTTATTCCTATTATTGCAGCGATTTAATATTAATATTAAAAAACAATTGCAATTAGTTTTATATTCTGAGGGAAATATGATATAGCTCATATTGCAAGATATGAAACTATAAAATCATT